TGAGTTGGGTTGGGCTGGGTCAGGTTACGTTGGGTTAGTCAAGGTTGGTTATACAATCAGTTGGCGAACAGTCTTGTGAACGATGCGACATATACCCCCCCCCCTCCACCTCCAAGGGAAGAGCCAAGACCCCTGCAGCAGCCCCAGACCCCCCCCCCCCCATGGGGACAGCACTACCTCAGGGAGAGCGGTTATCTTGAGATGATTTCGGGGCCTTAGTGTCCCCGCGGCCCGGTCCTCGACCAGGCCTCCACCCCCAGGAAGCAGCCCGTGACAGCTGACTAACACCCAGGTACCTATTTTACTGCTAGGCAACAGGAGAATAGGGTGAAAAACTCTGCCCATTGTTTCTCATCGGTGCCCGGGATCGAACCCGGGACCACAGGATCGCAAGTCCAGCGTGCTGTCCGCTCGGCCGACCGGTGTTGAGCGGTGCACAACACCACCACCCTGCCCACACCCACACCACCACCACCCTGCCCACACCCACACCACCACCACCCTGCCCACACCCACACCACCCTGCCCACACCCACACACGTGGGAACTCTTGACACTATGAGCACTAAATTATCAACTGTAAATATATTACAAAATCGTTAAATTGCTGGGGTCTGTTTTCATGTATGTTACCACACGTGCGTAGGCCTAGTAACCTGGCGACCGATAGGCCTACAATCCCAGGTAAAGAGAAGCCACCTTAAAATTCCACATTCTCAATCGAGGAGAAGAGTGGAGGAGGAGGTAGGAAAGATGGAAGGAGAAACACAGGAGAGAGAGAGAGAGAGAGAGAGAGAGAGAGAGAGAGAGAGAGAGAGAGAGAGAGAGAGAGAGAGAGAGACAGGAGAGATACAGGCGAGAAAGATACATATGAGAGATACAGGAAACAGAAAAAATAACCCCAAGAATATGGGGAGAAAAAATCCAAGTAAACCAATAGAGTATAATATTAACACCTTTTATCCTAGGATCAAATTGCTAGCAGGTGCGTGGCCTGCCTGCGCGAGGCCGGCCCCTCCAAGCGTCCATCCGCGCACATGAACGCGTCGCTCAAGAACTGTTGCATGGTGCACCTCTTCCCCCTACACCATTCCTCACATAAAGTCATGCATGAAAAACAGCAAAGCCGTGATTACAAGAATGTGACCGGCTAGCATATAGCGAAAGCCGTCGGCAATGTTGCAATCAACTTGCATAGCACGTCGCCGAGGAGACGATGGCATGGCCGTTTTCCATCCCCATAAATATGTTGTGCATGGCCGCCTCCACTGTCTAATGCATTCTTTCTGACTTGTTTGTGTCGGGAGCTAACAACAGGGACCCACTGGCCGTGACGCAGTCCATTGAAATTAGAATTTGGTGAATATTATATTATATATATATTATATATATATATATATATATATATATATATATATATATATATATATATATATATATATAACTGAAAACTCACACCCCAGAAGTGACTCGAACCCATACTCCCAGAAGCAACGCAACTGGTATGTACAAGACGCCTTAATCCACTTATTAAGGCGTCTTGTACATACCAGTTGCGTTGCTTCTGGGAGTATGGGTTCGAGTCACTTCTGGGGTGTGAGTTTTCAGTTGCATATTGTCCTGGGGACCATTCAGGCTTGTTCGTATATATATATATATATATATATATATATATATATATATATATATATATATATATATATATATATATATATATATATATATATATATACACAATGTATATAAGTATCTAATTGTATGTAGATAGGAGCTGCCTCGTATGGGCCAATAGGCCTTCCACAGTTACCTCTATTCTTATGTTTCACCCCCCATTTATCCCTTATGTATCCCCCCATGTTTTCACCTTTATTGTCTTATCACCTGACCCAGTGTGGGTATAAAATCAACCAGTCCTGAAAATTCTTTTCACTTAAGAATGAACCATGGAGGTTCGAAACGTTGTGCAAATTGTATAAATAAGTGTAATACATTCTATAGTAATTCACTTCTTTTCTTCACCTTGAAATTACAAAAATGAGTTTTGGAGAACTCCTATTTCAGCTAAGCCCTGATGCTAAGAAGATAGTTAGAGGGATAGAAGCCCTAAATCAGAAGATAGTAAATACAGAATATGCGGTCATATTCAATGAAATATATACATAATATATACATATATAATTATCCAAACGTGATTGCAGTTGTTTATTAAGGTTTCAACATCCGACGATTTATATTTTTTAACGTAAACTTGCTTAAATTGGAAATAATTTTTTCAGTGTCAAGATAGTGAGTAAATGGAAACCACTCTAAAGGGGTGAAGACAAACACCATACGCAGTTGTACATGTAGGTATGACAGCTTAATAAGCTCCGGAACCTGTACATCTGTCGGTTAAGGGTTGAGCGGCCCGACTCACCAATACAGCTAGGCGAGTACTTCCGCCAGTAACAGTACTTCCTCTTGTAACTAAAAATGAATTCTCAAGCCAGACATGTCAAACCCCCCCACCAACCCCCCCACACAGAGGGCGCTGGTAGAGGAGTGGACGGCGCGCGGGACTGGTAATTACGAGGCCTGGGTTCGATTCCCGGCGAGAAACAATGAATTTCAGTGAGAGTGAGTGAGTGAGAGAGAGATCAACAGTTTGTTCACCTAGCAGTAAATAGATACCTGAAAGTTAGACAACTGCTACGGTCCCCGTGGGAAAATATAAATCAATCAATAAATAAATAAACAAATAAATACAGACACGCACACGTGTGTGAGTGTGGGGCTTGGCACACTTGTCAAGGTAGATTTAGAGCAAGTGAGATTATCTACCGCCAGGGAGTTGCTAAATGATTGATGGCCACACCAGCGTACTGTGATAAGCGTGTGACGGGTAATCCTCGACCCCTGATGATACTCGTGCAGTCTTCCTTATTAACAGTAATTGCTCGCTCCCTTACAGGGTCAATCTCCCAAGGTCAAGTTTCCAGCCGTTTATGGGTTTTAATAAACAGTTGTTGTTAGAATATAATTAATATCACTGCCAGTATCTGTACCTCGAGTCCGTGTTTTGATTGCATAGAGCAGCAAAACATCGCAGTTTTAGTTACATTGTGTATTTGTGATTTATTATCTCTGAAGCCAGAGGTCGCATTTAATCGTCAGGCTGCTATCGCGGGGAAGGATACTGCTTGACAGTATTTATGAGGGTGTCCAGCTGCTGGACACCTTTTTGACCAGAGGAGAGGCAGTGTTGATGGCTTCAGGGTGGTTACTGCAAGGGCCAGATAGACTCGTAAAGCTCTTGTAAGGTCGTTGGTTGCTTCACATTCCAGGAGATAGTAAAGTAGTGGCTTTTCTGTGAGTGTTTGGCAGAAGATGCATTCCCTCTGTCTGGGTTCACCTAGGTTAACCTAGACGTAGCCTAGGTTACCGTAGGTTAACCTAGCCGTACTCTAGGTTACCGTAGGTTAACCTAGACGTAGCCTAGGCTACCGTAGGTTAACCTAGACGTAGCCTAGGTTAACCGTAACCTGATCATGTGAAGTTTGCGTGAGCGCGTCCTACACACAGACAGACGAGCACAAGTGAATTTGTACAAGGCAAACTAATAATTAATGACTTCTCCCAAGTTAATTTTAGTTCCAAACTTGTACACAGTATACACGACCCAGAACAAATAAGACACTTTGCTCAGGCGGCCACATATTGACTTATAAGTACATAAAGTCCCACATATTAGTTATAAACTTCGTTACCTTCAGTGTAATAATGTGTTAAACTTTTATTATAACTAGTGTACAGGAGACCATAACAATTGTCAGCCACACTTCCGATGAAATAAACATTCCATTCACCTGAGGGTGTTTACATCCCAAGTGAACATCAAACATTACATAACTATATGATGTTTACGTACATTTAACATTTGTGACTTCGGTATGGACAAGATGGGCGTCTCACTGTTAACTTAAGGGCAAGATGAGCGTCTCACTGTTAACTTAAGGGCAAGATGGGCGTCTCACTGTTAACTTAAGGGCAAGATGGGCGTCTCACTGTTAAACTTAAGGGCAAGATGAGCGTCTCACTGTTAACTTAAGGGCAAGATGAGCGTCTCACTGTTAAACTTAAGGGCAACATGGGCGTCTCACTGTTAACTTAAGGGCAACATGGGCGTCTCACTGTTAAACTTAAGGGCAACATGGCCGTCTCACTGTTAAACTTAAGGGCAACATGGGCGTCTCACTGTTAAACTTAAGGGCAACATGGGCGTCTCACTGTTAAACTTAAGGGCAACATGGGCGTCTCACTGTTAAACTTAAGGGCAACATGGGCGTCTCACTGTTAAACTTAAGGGCAACATGGGCGTCTCACTGTTAAACTTAAGGGCAACATGGGCGTCTCACTGTTAAACTTAAGGGCAACATGGGCGTCTCACTGTTAAACTTAAGGGCAACATGGGCGTCTCACTGTTAAACTTAAGGGCAACATGGGCGTCTCACTGTTAAACTTAAGGGCAACATGGGCGTCTCACTGTTAAACTTAAGGGCAACATGGGCGTCTCACTGTTAACTTAAGGGCAACATGGGCGTCTCACTGTTAAACTTAAGGGCAACATGGGCGTCTCACTGTTAAACTTTAGGACAAGATGGGCGTCTCACTGTTAAACTTAAGGGCAACATGGGCGTCTCACTGTTAACTTAAGGGCAACATGGGCGTCTCACTGTTAAACTTAAGGGCAACATGGGCGTCTCACTGTTAAACTTTAGGACAAGATGGGCGTCTCACTGTTAAACTTTAGGACAAGATGGGCGTCTCACTGTTAAACTTAAGGGCAAGATGGGCGTCTCAATCTTAAACTTAAGGGCAAGATGGGCGTCTCACTTAAACTTTAGGGCAAGATGGGCGTCTCAGTGTTAAACTTTAGGGCAAGATGGGCGTCTCAATCTTAAACTTAAGGGCAAGATGGGTGTCTTAGTGTTAAACTTAAGGGCAAGGCGAGTACAACTTACCCTATTAGACTCAAGGGCCTCGGCAGAGTGCTCCTCCCTCTGACGAAAGCAATTGGTACATTTGCTCTTGTTGAAGATGTTGGGTTGAAACTTGCGACAGTCGGACTTGTAGTTCGACATTCTTGCCACAACACACTCGCACTCAAGACACACTTAAATCCTGGCAGTTCACGGCTGTAGAGTATTCCTTCCCCTGCTGGTGTGGGAGGGTGGTGGTGGTGGGGGGGGAGGCGGCCTGTTCCTTCAGACACCGTCACAGGAGTGTGGTAGACACATGCCGGGGGTGACGGAGGGAAGGAGGGCGGCGGTGCCTGCCACAGGTAACACTCGCTAGCTACACTATCACGCCCCGAGGCGCCACACAACACCAAACTTCATTACCTTTTCTCCTCTTTCTTTTTTTGTACACTGTTCGCGCGCTTATACCGCGATCCTTCTTCACATATCTTAGGCACAGATTTCTACGAGCTAATTAATTAAAAAATAAAGCACTTGGTGGGAATATGTATAGCAGAGTAGAATTTAACACAGCAAAATCACGTAGATTTTGTGTGAAAACTCGGTGCGGTCGCCTCACATGCCTGTACACTTGTGAAGCCTGGCGGTGTGGGCCAGCCCCCCGGGGCCGCCACGGCCACCACCACACCGCCACACACTTCACTACTACACTATATCCCACGCCACTCCTCACTTACACACTCATATTTTCTCTCTTGATATCTCATATTAATTGTACTCCATATATTAAGCTATAAAACGATGGTTATATTGCTATAGTTGATTAATAAATATTGGTTAAGAGGTTAGATTGTGACTTCTGGCTACTCGCCACAGCCTGGCCGCCTTACAACCCTACGCTGAAGAAACTATTGCCACTCACCTTTACAATATATAAAGCATTAATAACGCTCAGCGAATCTTTTAAATAAAAACTGTTATGGATTATATTTAACAATAATAACAGTACATCTTGTAATATATTTAGAACATAAAAACTTAGATTTTATAAGTTTCTTTAGAGTTGAGGGCAGGTATTCAGTGGTCCGCGGTGGGCTCTCAAAATCTCAACCAGATGTATGGGAAGAAACGTTAGACACTCACTATTAATTGACATAGCATAGTTTACATAAAGGGCAATAATACTCCGGGGAGTACAAGTCCTGTCATAAAAAAGATGCCGTACAAGGAGACACAAAGTCAAACATTAACGATGAAGTATTAATGCCTGGCATCCTGTAAAGTTATCCCGTGAGTTTGATTAGTAATTCATACCCTCTAGGAGAGGTTGATGTGCGCTCGTCACGACACGTAGCACTCTCCCACGCTGTTAATTATGCTGCCAATTTGTCCTCATTCAATCAGCCATCTCTTCCATACAAGTTGCATGTAGGGACTTGGAATTATGAGTCTGGTGTCGGGGTATACCGGGAGGAGACGGCATTGTTGGGTAGGAAGCGGCGACCATTGAAAAGGAGAGTGAACACCCACATAGGCCTAACTTTGTGGCTAGCTAATGCTGCCCCGTCCCCCCCCCCTCCCCACCTCCGACCCGCACCTCCAACACAAACACACTCAGGTCCTCGCGGCCGAGTCGACAGCGCTCGAGGGTCGTAGTCCTAAGAGCCCGGGTTCGATTCCAGTTGTTGTTGTTGTTTCAGATTTAGCTACTCAGAACAAAGTGTCCTTGTAGCACGGGCTATGGTGAGCCCGTAATTGAGGTTTGGGTATTCGCGATAACCTTGTTTCTGTGATATTTGGGTCTATGTTTAAAATAGAGGTGGGGATTCCTCCTTTTTCCCTGTTTATTTATCGCTTCTGTTTTAGTGCACTGGTTTTAGTCTTGTTTTATTAACATTATCTTGGTGGCGGATGTAGATGCAGAATGCTCACTAGTGAGTCCCATTCCTCAACGGCTTTTCTAATCATCGTAGTCGCGGTGGAATGTGCATCTAATGCAGCTGCTGTCGTTGGATTAATGTTGAGTTTGATGCGCAGGGCTTCAGTAGCTTCACATTCCAGTAAGTAGTGCAATAGTGGCGCCTCTGCTTCTGTTCCACAGATATGACACTCTTTAACTATTGGGTTCATTACCTCCCAGCAGCACTTGTAACCAAGTCTGAGTCTGTGTATGGCTACTGCAATATCTCTGGATATCTTTTTACTAGGCTTGAAAGAGGAGTACCCAGTGACTTGTTCGTACCATATCGCAGTGGATCTTCCTTCCGCTACTTTGGTTCTGTGGCGACTTTTGATAGTTGAGAATATTTTCTTCTTGATTTGCTCCTTAATCTGTGAGAAACTTGGAGGTATTTGAACTTGTACAACAGGTAGAGCAGTGGCAGTTTTTGCTAGTGAGTCTGCCTTTTCATTACCATCTATGCCAATGTGACTTGGTATCCAATTTAGGGTGATTGACAGCCCTAGATTATGGGCTTCTTTTCCTATATGTTGAATTCCTGTGAGGAGTTGTATATTATCTCTGTGCTGGCTGGATAACAATGCCTGGAGCGAAGATTTAGAGTCTGTATGAATGATGACATCATGTAAATTATTCTCAATTGTACAGTTTATTGCCTCCTTCAGGGCATATAATTCTGTTTACAATGTTGAGCACCCACTATTCATGCTCCAGTAAGCTTCATGGTTGGTAGTGTAAACTGCTGCCTCAGCAGAACCTTTTTCTTGATCAACTGATCCGTCTGTGAAGATGTGAGTCGTTGTGGGTCTAGAGAGTTTCCATTTGTTGCTCTATTACCTCCTTGAGCCTCTGCGGATCACATGCTGATTTTTTAACTGGTAATCCTTCTATGATTATCTTTAGATTCGATTCTTCCCATGGAGGAGGCTGCCGAAAGTGTTGATATGGTCTATCTTCCCCTTTGTTTTTGATGGTCCATTTCAGGTCCATTTTCTCTAGAATCTTGACCAGATTATCCATCCATGAGCTTGTTCTATACTGAATGTTTTTTCTGAAAGGATCTCTGTATGCTGTCTTTGATTGACAGTCTGCCGGTTGTCCCAAAAAGTTTTGCTGCTATGGTGGCTATCCTTTGTTGCATCCTGTCTTCTAATGCTGGTAAATTGGTTTCCATTCTAAGGTTCTCTCTACGCGTCCATATAGGTGCTCCCAGCATTGTTCTGAGAGCATCATTTTGAGACACTTCCAGTTTCTCCCATTGGTTATCACTGAGGGATGTAAGAGCAGGAGCAGCATAGTCAATGAGTGACCTAACTGCTTGGACATAGTACATTTTGAGTACTGGTAGAGATGCACCATCTCTAAGACTGGTCAGAGAGCGCAAAGCTGAGTTTCTGGCTTTACAGCGTTGCCGAAGATATTCAATTTCTTGAGTGAATTTTAACTGGTTGTCTATTATGACTCCTAGGTATTGAAAAGAGGTAACCCACTCAATTTCTTGTCCTTGTATTGCCAGTCTGATGTCTTGAGTTCTCATTTTAACGGCCATAGCTTTTGGCCGTTATCAATGGCAAAGGCGCAAGGAACCATGCACAAAAATGCCTAGATATTATCAGCAGGGAAGCGGAACGCACATCAGTGAAAATAAACAGCAATAAAACAAAAGCTATGGCCGTTAAAATGAGAACTGAAGACATCAGACTCGCAATACGCTGGACGTGTTCTAGTGAATTTATATCCATTCTATAGTATGGCGACCAATACTGAACTGCATAATGTAAATGGGGCGTAACCAGAGCAAGATATAGCTGAAGAACAGCACCAGGTGTCTTATTAGTAACGCTTCGATAAATAAATCCCAGAGTCCTATTTGCATTATTACAATACAATACAATACAATACAATTTTATTTAGGTAAGGTACATACATACAATAAATATTTACAAGGATTGTTTGACTTATAGGTAGAGCTAGTACATACAATGCCTAAAGCCACTATTACGCAAAGCGTTTCGGGCATTACGAGCATTTATGCATTGATTTTTGGGGGTTTTAGTTGGAGAAGGTACAGAAAGTTGAAGGTGCAAAAAGAAGCATGAGATTAATCTCAAGATTATTTTCATTGACAAAAAATACTAATAATGAGATTATGATGATATAATTGAACTTACAGAGTATTAGGGATAGAATTTCAGAGAAAAATGAAGCTTCAGCGATTAGATTAATGAGAGGTGAGGAAGATAATGAATTAATCTTCCCACTTTAGAAGGTGGGAAGACATTAATAATGCATGTGAACGCATAATAGGCTCCTTATGTTCTAATGCTACAAAGTATAATATTTTTCATGAATGAAAAACAGAACCACAGAAAAATGGGAGGAATGTAACGTAGATGTAGTCATTATTCCCTCTGTTAGACTCTTAACAGGCTCCCGATGTTTGATACATCAATGATATAAATCAGATCAACACAAGAGGGGAGGTAATAAAAGTATGTGTCTGTGGGGAAAACAAATTAGTAAAATGAACAGGGAAAGAGAAGCGGCCTCAAAATTGCCACATGAAAGACTGATTAAAAAGATAGTGGCTCATGGTATTGGGGGTGCTATATTAAGTTGGATTAGGGCATGGCTATACCAAAGGAAACAGAGAATTACTATAAATGGGGTTAAATCAGACTGGGAAAATGTTGTAAGTGGAGTGCCTCAAGGCTCTGTCCTGGACACCTGTTATTTAGAATATATATAAATGATTTAGATTCAGGTTTGAGTACCAACATTTGCAAATTTGCCGATGATACAAAAATCGGTAGGGAAATTAACGCGGAAGAAGACTCACTATCACTTCATGTTGATCTAAATAGGGTTTTGAAATGATCAAAAGATTGGCAGATGCAGTTTAATGCTGATAAATGTAAAGTTCTGAGGCTAAGAACATAAGGACAAAGGTAACTGCAGAAGGCCTATTGGCCCATAAGAGGCAGCTCCTATATATAACCACCCAATCCCACTCATATACACCATTTGGTCACCACTTGGTCCGGGAGACATCTCCCGTCACGCAGGGTGCAGTTGCGCCTCCACAGATCTCCAGTATCATCTTTTGATACTGGTAATGGCTCGAAAGGGCCACCACTTACGGGCTATTCATGCCCGTGCCACCTCTTGGGTGGCTTAATCTTCATCAATCAAATCAATCACTCATATACCACGGGAGACATCTCCCGTCACGCAGGGTGCAGTCGCACCTCCACAGATCTCCTGTATCAGCTCTTGATACTGGTAATGGCTTAAAAGGGCCACCACTTACGGACTATTCATGCTCGTGCCACCTTTTGGGTGGTTTCATCTAGTTTAGTTCATTTATTATGCACCCCATACCCATCTTGTGGGCGGTAGTGGAAAGGGTTACAGAGGCACATAATGGGCTCAGGGACTGAGCCCGAACCAGGATACTGATTCGGTAACAGGGTTGTTGATTTGTGGAAAAATTTTCCGCGTAACATAACAGAAGTAGGATCCCTTGATTATTTCAAGCGTAATTTAGACATATATTTGAATGAGATTGGGAGGATATAAATAGGAGCTTCCCCGTAATGGGCTAATCGGCCTTCTGCGGTTGCCTTCATTTCTGGTGCTCTTGTGTTCTTATGATGCTTTAGGGAATTCAACTCTATCCTATCCCAAC